CATCCCTCTATCCCTCCAACCATCTAATCCCTGTATTCATCCATCCATCCCTCCATCTATCCATCCATCATCCCTCCATCCATCCATCCCTCCATCCATCCATCCAATCCCTCCATCCCTCTATCCCTCCATCCATCTAATCCCTGTATTCATCCATCTACCCATCCATTCCTCCATACATCCCTCCATCCCTCCATCCATCCATCCAATCCCTCCATCCCTCTATCCATCTAATCCCTGTATTCATTCATCTACCCATCCATCCCTCCATCCATCCATCCCTCCATCCATCCCTCCATCCATCCATCCATCTCTCAATCCCTCCATCCAGTCCCTCCATCCCTCCATCCCTCTATCCCTCCATCCATCTAATCCCTGTATGCATCCATCCATCCATCCAACCATCCCCGCCAGGCCATGCCCTCCCCCACAAGAGGTTCCCACCACATGAGTACCCAGCTCTCTCTGTGCACATGCCTTTGCTGGTCTTGAGGGTTTAATGACATCCATAAAGAGGTGCACCTGGAGGACCTTGTCATCCTCAGGGCATTCTTCCTCAACCTGAGCTCAGAGATGATCTGCGGTCACAGTGGACAGTCCTCTGGGCAAGCCCACGATTCCCAGCTTGAACAGGTTAGTCTGGCTTATGACACCTCCCAGGAGATCCTGAGTGGAAGACAATGCAGTAAGAGAGCCCGGGAGGCAGCTGCGGGGAGGCCTTTGTGACAGCGGTAAGGTCCAGGCATCTGTCCACACCTTTAGCACTTAGACACCTCCTAAGTCAGTTCTTTGCCGACCTCCCCAAGGTGTCGCGTCCAGGACACCTCTCTGTGTCTATCATCCAATCTGGGGCTTGTCATCTTTGCACCTCATGGCTGGTTTTGTTTCCTCTGTAAGGACCCAGAGGAGGAGAAAACACTGCTCTTGAGGGGAAGAAGCAGCGCATCGTGGCCCTTTGTCCACTTCTCATTTGGAGTCAGTCCTCATTTGGTGTTTCTCCTTGAAAGGCCTGCTTGGGATGACTCCACTGAGCTTGATCCACACTAAGCTCTCCCTAAACAGGCTTGACCCTCCTCAGCTTCTCTCTGTTTACCAGCTGGGGCTGCTCACGGCGATCTGTCGTCCTCCATGAAACATGACAGACGAGTTTCCATTCTACACCAGTGTTGTCTTTGGCAGCTACATCTCCACTGGGCAAACAAGTCAGATGTTTGCTGATAAAGACGTCGTCTGAGCGTCTCGGAGCTCCTTGGTTTAGCGACTAATTTGCACTGGTTTAACTTCTAAATGGAATTAAACATACACATATAGATATATACCTTGGTACTTTAAAAAAAATGTAATAACCATCAACAAAAGGACATTTTCAAGAACACACTTTAGGACTAAAGAAAAGACAAAATCAGAGAGCACAGAGTTGGAAAGGATGCCGGAGGCCACCCAATCCTACACAGAGCTCAGGAAGAATCCGTTGCAAAACAAGGCTAAGAGGAGGTCCCAGACCCATCCTGGGGCACCACCAGACCCACATCAGGACACTGACCTCTGGATGGCCCACTCCCCAGCTGCAAGTCACTGATCCAGAGTGGACTGAGAGGGAAGTGTACTTGCACACAACGTTGGCATTCCCACGTGGGGAGGCCCGGGGCAGTGCGCCAAGAAGAAGTGTGGTGCCCACCCAGGTGCAGAGCAGGGTCTCAGTTCCAGCATCCAGCCCAGGCTTCAAAGGAATAACCAGTCAACAGGGAGACCATAATTCTGCAACACTGAACCATCACAGCTTTCAAACTGCCTGACAGGGGCTGAGTCCAACAGCATCTCCTCTTGCTCAGCCCCAAACCCAGGCCAGGAACTGGCAGGATCAGTCCAGGGGAGCAGCGATCAGGCTCTGCCCTTAGTCCAACCCCTCTGGGAGCAAGGGACACTTGCAGGTCTCCAACCTGTCCCTGAGATCTTCGAATAACACAACACTCACAAGCCCAAGAAAGCAGCCACAGGACCAGCTCAAAGCTAACCTCCAGAAGTGCCACGGAGCCCAGAATTAACATCAAGTGCAGAGTCAGGACATGGGCTGGAAGAATGGGCAAACAAAAAAAGATGCCCACCATAATGAGCTAAGACGGTAGCAGGGAAGCCCAAGACACAAACTGAGAAGAAGAGAATGGCTCTAAAACATCTACAAACAAAGCCTCAGAGAAAAACTCAGCTCGGGCACAAACTCAACCACAACTCCTAGGAAAGACGAAGCAAAAGTTTTTTTAAGTTTGTATAAATGAAATGCAAGTGCCTGGGGATAAACATAAAACAGAAACGAAAGAGAGAAGGGAAAAGGGAATTAACAGCTTGGACACAAGAGACATCAAACCCATCCAAGCCACAAATTCCCTGAAAACCAGAATGGATCAATTGGAAGACAATGACTCCATGAGGCCACAAGAAATAGGAAAACAAGGTCAAAGGCTGAAAATAGAGAAGAAATGGTAAGCTATCTCACAGCAGAAACAACTGCTCTAGAAAACAAATTGAGGAGACAGGGATTGTTGGACTACCTGAACGTCACAACAAAACAAGGAGTTTTCACATTCTATTTTAAGAAATCTTAAAATAAAACTGCCAAGATCTCTTAAGAACCAGAGAGTTCAGTGGAAATAAAAAGAATCCACCGGTTACCTTCTGAAAGAAACCCCCAAATGAAAATGCCCAGGAATATCAAAGCCAAAATTTAAAGCTTCCATATCAAAGAAAAAAATACTGCAAGCTGTCAGAAAGAAAAAAATTCAAGTACTGCGTAGCCACAGTCAAGAGCACACAAGATTTATCAGCCACCACTATACAGGAGCAAAGAGCTTGAAATACAATATCTAGAAGACAAAGGAGATAGGCTTACAACCAAGAATTCCTTACCCAGAAAAACTGAGTATAATGCTACAGAGGTAAAAATGATGGAACATGCTGCTTCCTGAAAGAGGATAAAAAGCTCAGAATGCAGAATAAGTCAAGTATATTTTTTTTTATATAAACCAGTATGGAAATACGTTTTGAACAACTATACATGTTTCTAATTCATCTTGGCTTTCTCACTTGGGAGGGAGGGAAGTGTTGAAGGGGGATTGGAACTGGGGTGGGAGGGTGAAAAGGCAGACTGTGGTTCCCAAAGTCTCTCCAGGTTCATGTGCATTGTTTTTAAGACACCATCCATCTATCTCATCCTCTGCCAGCCCCTTCTCCTTTTGCCTTCAATCTTTCCCAACATCAGGGTCTTTTCCAAGGAGTCCCATCTTCTCTTTATGTGGCCAAAGTATTTAAGCTTCAGCTTCAGTATTTGACCTTCCTGTGAACAGCCTGAGTTAACTTCTTTAAGTACTGACTAATCTGATCTCCTTGCTACTCCAAAGCACCAATTCTGCGGCACCCAGCTTTCCTCACAGTCCAGCTCTCACGGCCATATGTTGCTACTGGAAAGGTCACAGCTTTGACTCCGTGGACCTCTGTTGGCAAGGTGATATCTGCTTTTCAGTCTGAGTCTGCTGTCCAGATCTGCCAGAGCTTTCCTTCCAAGGAGCAAGCATGTTCTAATTTCATGGCCGCAGTCACTGTCTGCAGTGATCTTTGAGCCCGAGCATCACAATGTATACAGAGGAATAAACTTGCTGTGCTCTTCACCAGTGAATTAACTATGAACCCCAGTGACTATGGAGCCATTAAAATCCAGAAGTGATGAATGGCTGCTGAAAGACTCAGGCTGCAGACCTCTGTCCAGGTCCTGAGTATCAGAGTTTTGCGGAAGAGGGACATGTCAACAGTCACTGCCCGCACAGCCCTCACAGCCCCTGGACTTGTCCATCTCTGGACAAGTTCTGAGACATATGGAATACCCAAGGCACTGAGACCCCTGAATCCACTCTGAGGATACAGCCCTGACTCCAGTTATCATGAGGATCAAATCAGATGACATTTGTAGAATACTTGGCAAACCTTCAAGTGCTACATAAATGCTGGCTGCTATTATTATTTTTAATAGGATGATAGCTGAGGGGAAGCAGCTGGTGGCTCAGTGGATACAGCCCTGGGCCTGGAGTCAGGGAGACACGAGTTCAAATCCAGCCCAGACACTTTTCAGCTGTGTGGCCCTGGGCTAGTTACTTGGCCTCTGTTTGCCTAAATCCATCGGAGAAGGAAAAAGCAAAGCGCTCCAGTGTTTTTGCCAAGAAAATCCCGTGGACAGGACCGGTGTGCTGCGGTCCACGGGTCACAAAGAGTCGGACATGACTAAGCACCTGAACGGTAACAAGCCTGAAGGAATGGTGGCAGATGGTAAATACGTTTTCAAGATGGGGGAGACCTGAAGATGGCTGAGGGCAGCAGGGACGCAATGAACGCATCTGCTGCGATCATCTAAGAGAGGTGGCCAAGGGGGTTGAGAGAAGGGATGGACAGCACACACGTGGAATGGGAACTGACAGGATTGTTTAGTGACAATCACGTTAAACTCCTTCTGAAACAAAAAGGTCTGGAATCACCGCTCTTTCTATTTCTCGAGAAGATGGTCATTCACTCAACCCCTCGACCACCGACAAGAACCCACAACCAGTTACCGATGGACAATTCCGGCAGAGACACCTAGAAATGACCACGCTGCTGCTACTTTCTGGTTCTTGCCCAGCGGTGTAGGCTGGAATGCTATGCCAAGGGAGGGGCCAGAGGCTAACATCTGGCTGAAACAGGAGTGGAAGAATCTCCAACAAACAACAGAGAAAACAAGACCGGCTGTGCATACGAGGAAGGCCCTGCCATGGCTTTTCATCCCATTCCTTCCATGCGGCACTGGCAGGGGAAAAGGAGAGTCCCTAAGATTCTAGAACACGGCTTGTCCGGAAGTCCTAGGCTGAGAGAAAACCCCAGAGCTACCCACGTCACTCCTAAGACTCCCAAAGCAGAAGCCTACTTATGCAAAGGCCGGGCCATGGCCCACGTCCCCCAGAACGCCAGCACAGACTTACCTACAGTCGGTGAACAGAAACTCCAGGTGGGTCATGTAAACCTCCCAACATGGCACACTGTACCGCTCGGCCAAGGAAAGGGCGATGTTGTAGACGTTGTTCTCGAGCGTCCTAGAAGGATGACCGGCCCCGAGGGAAGAAAGAGACATGGTTGCCATGAGCCACACAGAAAGTGTTCAGAGGCCTCGCTCCCCGGCAGGTCATTCACGGGACGCCATCCCCGAGACTGACGCTTTGTGGGCTTGCCCAGGGGTCAGCGTCAGCGCGCTGGAATATCACAAGGGGCCCACACCAAAGGGGGAAAAACCTAGAGAGGATCCGTGTTCCCGACCTCCCCATGCCTCAGGGACACAGCGATCTTCAGTCTGAAGGGGAGGCTGCCACAATCTACCCCTTCAACACCAGAAATACCTGAGGCGTCATTCTGCGTAGGAGACCTTGGGACCCCAGCTCTATGGCACTTAGCAATGTGACCTTGGGCAGGTCGTTCAGAGACGGCAGAGGCTTATGGGCAGACAATGAGAAGCCCCCTTCGATACTCCCACGAGAGGAAGGGGCTGGCCGTTAGCCTGTGAGGTTCTTTCCAGATCCAAGTCGACAAGACCAGGACTTCTCTGGGTCTCAGCTTCCTCATCTTTACAAGGGGGATAACCAAGGTGTCTACCTCACAATGCTACTGAGGTTCCCTTAAAGGAGGGAAAAGGTAGGAGCTCTCCTATAAGCTCTCTTGTCCACACACACTGGCTGCCAGCCTGTGGGCATCATAGAGAGAGGCGTCACGTCTTATCCAATCTAGAGGACGCCTCTCCCCAGCACAGCTCTCCGTAAATAGGAGGCCCTCAGGAAACATTCGTTTAGTCGAATTGGGGGCCATGGGCAGGAATCTCAGTTCTAGGACTCACTGCCTGTGTGACCTTGGGGAACTCTGTTCTGTGCCTCACTTTTCTCTTAGAGTGATGGACAGAAAGGGCCTAGAGGAGGCCTAGGGCCTGTCCCCATCTACAGCCTCTGGTCCTCCACTAACACCCTCCGCTGATGCTTCACTGGACCAGGAAAGGACGAGGGGTCTTCCAAGGCCAGGGCGGTGGGAGCAGGCTCTGGGAAACAAGCTGGGAAGTCCCCGTACGTTCACTGGGGCTCATGGCCAGGAGGCCAGACACCAGGTGGGGACAACTTCTGGCCACTGCATCTACTGAGGTGTAGGTTTGTGGAAAGAAACGTGGCTGAGCCGGGACAAGTCCTGAGCATTAAGAAGGACAGACGCTTCCCGCCAAAGCCAGGTTTTGGGGAGAGAAGCGCTTTTACATTTCATCACAAAGCAGATTTAAAAGGGACAATTACTTTCCATTTTGCTTTTCTGCACATCCACAAATCAACAAGTAATGGAAGACTGAGAAAAGAAATCTCTGAAGGCCGTGAATCACAGGAAATCCTTTTTCCAATGAGCTGAACAAGGATACCACAGACAAAGTATCAGGTGATATTAATTTATGAGAATTCATTTTCTCAGAAATGCTTAAATCAAGATAGTCTTGTCAGTTTTCTCTTTAACCACTGACTACTTACTTGGGTCAGCCATTCAGCAGGCCTCTACAAGCCTGTCCTGTGGGTTAGGCTATGTGGGATTGGAATGCAGTCCCTGCCCTCAGAAACTGCTGCCCTCTCTTGTTGGGGAAACAAGACGTGCCCCCAGAAAGCTCAACCCTGACTCCGCCGCTGCTCCACGGGGTTAACAGACTGTCCTACTCAGAGCTCCTCAGCATCTTCCCTGGGTGTAAGACCACCCAGCCACCCTCCCAAGCCCTCCGTCCTCTGGCAGAAGCCCACCTTTCCAGGCTTCCTTCATAGTGAACACCCTCTTCACACACTGTCCTCTGGCCAAACACGGCTACTGGCTGAACCTGGCTAGTTCTGACCTTTCACACTTAGATGTTTGAGCTCCCTGGGCCCCATGCCCAGAAATGACCTTCCCAACTCCACCTGCCCCTGACCCATCTCTGCCTGGGTACATCCTCTCTCCTTCATCCCCACTGATTTGCCCATCCCAAGCAATTGCTCCCTCTTTGAGTTCCTTGGGTCAATCTGCTTGCCCCTCCTATGTAATCGTGCATTTCCTAATTTGTTTTAGAATTATTTATGCATCTGGCTTATCCCTCTCTCCACTGCCACCCCCTCCTAAACTGTAAGCTCTCTGAAAGCAGGGGCTATGACAAAGGGACATTTTGTTTGCCTTAACTATTGACTACAAGAGCCAAGGAAGCAAGGCCAACATGGATCCAATCTTGATGTGCACCCAGTTTGGTGGGAGAGGAATGGCTGGCTCTGGGGTCTGGGGCCTGAGGGACAATAAGCTTGAGTTGTTTGGAGGACAGAACGAAGAGCATCTGAGGAGAAGGGAGATGTAAAGCAGGAAAGACAGGCCCTATGTTTTGGCTAGGCATACCTTCAAGGCTCCAGCCAATGACACACGAACTGCTCAGAAACTAAACACTCGATCTGTGAATGCTCAATGATTATTCCCAGAAGTATTTCTCTGAATAGAGAATTGGGCTAAGAGCTCTTCAGAGTGGCCCAGGCCCCATCTGCTGGGCATCGACAGTCCAGGAGAGACAAGTTCACCATGGAAAGGCATCATCAACATTTACACAAGTTCAGAGGGAGGGGCTCGGGAAGATCTCTGGATCTGGGGGTCAGCGGGCTAGGGGTTTACCCTGCTACTGCCCACTAGCCCTGGCCTGGAGTTTCTCCACCTATAAAAGGAGAGGATTTGCCGCCATCCCAAAAGTCCCTCCTGTCTGACCTCGATCACACACTGGGCAGGGTCAATATGTATGTTCACTCAAAGCCAGCCTCCTCCAATGCAGCCTCCCCTGCACAGAGTCCACTGTGGGTGCTGCACAGCACCCACCAATAATGGGAGGGAGGAAGAAGGAAGAACACCATCATCAAAAGCATTATTTTATCCTTCAGGAAGTACGGCCCACTTGGATTCTTGAAAGCACTCCCTTGCCCAGCCCGCCTGGCCCAGCCCGGCCCGGCCCACTCACTAAAACACAAAAACAACCAGCCAACCAGCATAAAACACCTCCAGCCACCCAAGACCCCCTTTCCACTCCCCGTCTACCAGGGAATGCTCCTGCACTAAGAATTTGTGGCTATGTAGCCCCTGGGCTTGGGAGGCCTGGGGGGCTGGGAGGAGGGGACAAGTAGGAAATGCAGAGCATGAGCCGGAGCCCCAGCAGCACGCATGCATGCTGCTGGTGAGAGGATGGTGACCTGGGGGAAGGTTTTGCAAGGCCCCTCCCCTTCTCCCAGAAGATCAGCAGAAGGGAGCACTGCCCAAAACAAATCTGGCCAAGGGCCACGGCAAAAATAGGGGGAGTTTTTCATTTTATTCTTTGCCAGGAGAGGAGTGGCAGGGACCCCAGAATTGGGGACCTCCTTCGCCTTGGGAGGGGGTCATCTTTAGGCGCAGAGACTGGAAACCCAGGCAGGACTAAAAGCTGAGGTGGTCCTCACGAAGGAGATTTCAACCAGACAGTGCCCAAGGACCTCTGAGAATCCTCGACACGTGTCCCCCTTTGGGTGGATGGCAAGGGAGGCTGCCCCATGAGGACGAGTCTGTGTTGATGCCCACATGGGGTAACAGTGAGAAAGGGGCTCTCAGGAATTCAGCACAAGGGACCCCCATGCGATGGATGATTCTGTCCAAGAGCCACAGAATGCAGACCCTCAGCCCTGGAAGGGACCTTGGGGATCACCTGTACCACCACAATAGTGCCCTCACAGGGCCCCCCACACCACCTCTTGTGGAAGACCTCCACTAACAGGAAGCCTAGGCCTCCCAAGGTGCCACGCTCTACTCTGGCGATCAGAAACTCAATTGCTTAATCCCCTCCTTCCAGCCAGCACCTCACCTGCTGAGGGGGGACAGAGTGGGAGAGCAAACCTACACCCGAGCCCAGCGTCAGACCCGGCTCACAGCATCGGACACCGCGGCCTCGATTTCATCACCTGTGAGGTGGGGACACTAGTGCCTGAATCCCTCAGGCTGCTGGGCGCTGGGGAGGAGAGGGCAGTGCAGCGGGGCTGCTGCTGCTGCCCTGGGTCCACAGGAGAGATCCCGCAGCCAATCCTGCCCGCCTCCTCCTCCCCATGCCCCTCCACTACGGCCCAGGAGCTTCTTGGCCCTTTACTCTTGTTAGTTCCTTCTGGAGTTTCTCTGTTGTTCCAAATCTTCCTCCTTTTCCTCCCTCCCCCTTCCCAGCTCCCTGCCCCCCAGCATCCCCTCACCCTGACTTAACAAAGAGACACTGCTATCACAATGGCGGCCTTCAGAGCCCTTCAGGGGCCGGCCTCTTCCTGCCTGTGCACTGACCTATGCCTCCCCGCTCGCCTCGCACTCTGAGATCCGGTGGTGCCGGCCTCCTGATCGCTGACCGCCTCAGCCTTTAGTGCAGTGCCTTGCTTAATCACTATAGGCTAACTGGGCTGGACGTGGGATGGACAGAGGCCTGAGGAAAGAAGACTTCAGAGATCTGGCCTCCAGAGATGACCAGAGTCCTACCTCTCCCCGTCCTGGACAGATATGGGGTGGGGAGGGGGAGTGAAAAGGTCCCATGACAGCCTGACATCCAACAAAATCTGTCCCGCAGCCCCGGCTGGCCACCCAGTCAAGCTGCACAAAAGGTCAGCGGTGCTAGACACATCGGGGACAGCCGGGCACCGAGGATGCCGCTACTTACTCGGTCAGCCCGAGGATTGTCTCTCTCTTGTACCGGTCATCCGCAGTGAAGCGGGGCACGTCCACGCCCTTGCGCAGTCCCTGGAGCAGCTGGGCCTGGGTGAGATCCTGGAGTCGCTCATGGTAGAAGCCCAGGTGCTGGACCAGCACCCCGACGTCTTCGGACCAGGCCCGGCCATCCGGGTGAGAGACGTGCTCGGTGACCAACTGGACGAGCTCACTGGGATCAGCCTGAAGGCCCCCAGGCCCAAGAAACAAACACAAGCATATCAGGTAGGGCATGGCCCTCATGGTCCAGGGAAGCCCTCCCCTTCAGGCCTCACAACAACATCGGAGGGGCAGAGATCATCAGTCCCATTTTAGAGATGGGAAAAATAGGCCAAGAAAGGTGAGCACCCTTCAGTAGAGTAAGCACACTGAACTGATGGTCAGAGGACGCTGCCTCTTACTCACTGTGCAACCTAAGACAAGCTACTTCCCCTCTCTGGGCCTCAGTTTCCTCATCTGCAAAATGAAGGCATTGGACCCGATGGTTTCAGGAAGTCCCTCCTGGCTCTGACCTTGCCCAGGGGCCAATGGCGAGCCCAGAAGGAGCCTGCGTTTTCTGCCCCAGCCGATAATAACCCCAGACGGCTCAGGACAGTCATTCGTTCTCTGCCGTTTAACAGGACCTCATACGCTGCCCATCTCTTCCACTGGGACACTTTGTATTTTCTGTTATTCCTGGCTTTGGACGAGTCTCCTCCTCAGGAGTACAGATGACCGCCAGCAGCAGTACCCCCAGCCCCGGACTAGGGGAGGGCCGCCAGATGCCCAGGCCACTGCACCAAAGGCCCACGCTGCCGGGGGCAACGTGTTGCTGCCGCGCGTCCCAGGGAAACTCCCCGGTGGAGACTAGACCTTAGGTTCGGTGGCCCTCTCCTGCGTTATTTCTAGCAGCTTCTCTGACAACACAAACCAGTGACTGGAAGCAAGACCCAGAACTCCTCAGAAGAGAGAAGGCGGGAAGGTGGGAAGGCGGGATTCACGCACCCCACTAGAACCTGCTTCTGCATCTGGGCTCAGTGGAGCTGCAGCGGCCGCAGCCCAGGCTCCCCGGAGCTGCCAGAACTGGTCCCTCGGAGCAGGGCGGGGCCCCTCCAGGAGGAGCCTGTCAGCCCCAGGGGTGGCTCCGTTCTGGGTGCGCGCATGGGCGAGCCCCCACTCCGACTGACCACAGGAAGAACCCCCATACCGGCACCGTCCAAACCCATCCCACACGCCTCCCTCCCGGCACAGCCCAAGGCTCCACACCCATTCAAACACTGATGGGGTCCCCGAGCCTGGAGCCGGGGGCGGGGGCGTCTTATCCCACAACCCCCTCCCCACCCAGCAGCTGCAGAACCAGCGTGTGCTCAAATGATGGCCCACTCGGCGACTTAGGGAATACTAATGGTAAGAATGACAGGGTTTGTAAAGCGCTTCCCAAACGACCCACAACTCCACGGTACCGATGCCATCCTTCTCGATGTATGTGGCACGCACGTGCCCCCGACTCCTGCCTGGGGCACTTGGGCCCACCCCCTGATCAGGGCAGTGCCTCAGCGCAGAGAGGGAGCTGTCTCTGCATGCCATGTGGAGGGCTCCTGCAAGTCTGCAAGGCGTCACCAAGCCGAACCCGACATGTTCTTGGTCGATACCATTATGGGACCATCCAGGAGAGCAGATAAAAGTAGCTGATGAACTCTTCCCCGATTTAGGCTGACGGGCTTAGGATCAAGGTTTGACAAAAACCCAGCGGTCTCTGCACACCAGAGGGAAGCAGTTCTGGTAAGCGGAAGGAGCTCTGAAGCTGCAACACTGGGCAAACCAGTTGAGGGCTCTGGGTCTCAGTTTTCCCATCAGTAGCAATGGGGACAGGGGCAGCTAGGTGACCCAGGGAATACAACGCCGGCCCAGGAGTCAGGAGGACCTGAGCTCAAGGTCACCTGGGCAAGTCACTTAGCCCCAACTGCCTCCAAAAAAACAAACAAAGAAACAAGAACAAAGAAACTGCAGGACCACTGGCCCGGTGAGGACCAAATGGAAAAGGACACAGAAGGTTCTGTAAACTCCTGGTCTCTCAGTCTGAGCAGCGGGCGCTCCTGACGCGCCTGCTGAGCGCCTCGCCCAGGCCGAGCCTCCCCCAAGTCCTCCTGACCTAAGTCTCACCACTGGGCCAGGACGGCTCCCAGGAGACAGTGAGGTCGGTGACCCTGCGACCCTGCCCAGCCCCGCCTCACTTACACCCATGCACTTGCATGTCATGGCAGCGCCTCCCCGACGCCATGGGCCTCTGAGGGCAAAGGACAAACAGCCACAACCATCAGGAAGGCTACGCTGCAAAGAGGAAGGCCTCAATGAACGCTGGCCGAGTTAACAGAGGTTCAGACCGCATCCGCAGGTAAAATGCCTCTCACCATCGTGTGCACCCATCTGAGCATCTCCACGGTCCTAGGCCGACGCCAGGCCCAGGGAGGGGCACAGAAGGGCCGTGAGGCACACCCTTGCCACATGGGCCGGGGCAATCCAGCTCAGCAGAAGTGGGAAATGCGTGGGGACATGGTAGAGGAATGACTAGCAGTCAGGATGCACAAGAAAGCACCAGCTAGAACGCCGGACAAATCTAGTAAGCAGAAAGGCAACGGATCAATGTGGAGTTATACATCGGGGTTCAGTGAACTGACTTTGGACGTACAAGATGGAAAACACAGCGATTTGAAAATGATCTGGGGAGCTGGTGGCCCACAAGTCCAATAAGGGTTCCACGTGTGATGCAGGGGCCAAGAAAGCCAAGGTGATCTGGGCGTCCTTAAAGGAAGCTGAGCTCCCAGGACACGGAGATGGTCCCAGGTTGGTCTGCTTTGGTCAGACCCCAACAAAAGAACACAAAGAGGCTTAGTCTGGGCTATGACCACTCGGGAAGGCCTTGGATAAGCTGGGAAGATGGAGAAGAGGGCAACCGGGATGGCAAAGGGCTGAGGACGTGCCACCTGAGGATGAGGAAGAGCTGGATTAGCTCACAAAGGATGGGGAGGAGAGACTGAAAGATGACAGCAGTGACCGCAGAGGGGATTCTGGAGAAGGAGGCGAGCATGTTGATGGCTATGCGTCCGTGGAGAGTGGGAGGCGCCATCAGCAACTGTGAGCAGAGCCTCGGGATGAGAAGAGTACGGCCCTGAGGCCCGGCCAGTGTGACCGCCTGCAGCACACGGCACAAAGCTGGGCACAGAGGGGCTGCTCTACACCTGCTGAACCGAAGCCCACAAGATCAATGGAAGGAAGAAGCAGCAGGGGAGGAGATAAGAGAGGGGGAGGACGGAGCAGGGGCCTCAGGGACCGCGCGCACGGCGAGGAGGGCCTCCCCTCATTAGGGCTGAAGGCGAATGATCAAAGCCATCTTCACCCTGAAACGGGAGCGCTGCCCAGGAGGCAGGGGATGGAGCCGCACCAGACAATAGTGGGAAAAGATGCCTGGGGCACTCAAGCTCAGCAGAGGGCTGGACGAGATGACCCCAGCGAGGAGAGCCTGAGAACTCACCTGCGGCGGTCCTCTTGGCAAGGTCCCTGACAGCCAACGGTCAGCGTCTCCCTCCTGTCCTAGCGCCCCAACTCATCCATCTACACCTGTAACCTCCCAACTGGCAGCTCTTCATGGCTCCATGGGCTCTCGCCATCCAAGCTCTAACGTCTCCCTCAGAGCAAAGCCAACTGCTCTGCAAAATCTCCAGCCAGAAAACTCTCCAAATATGCTGGGGGGAGTCCACAGAGGCAGGAATGGAAAAGTTTTGAGATGACGGAGACATCTGGAATTCTGCACATCTCTGATTACGTGATTCTGCGAGGGCAGCTCTGGCCAGGGAGATCAGGGCCAGCTTCATGGAGGAAGGTCAGCAGAGAGGCTGGGCAGGACGTCCGATGGCCCAGGCCACGGGGCCTCCCTGCCTTGCAGGCACACAGACTTCTAATATGTCTCCATCTGTGCTCCAGAGCTGGTCTGGGAGCCAGGAGGGGCCCAGGGGAGTGGAGACGGAACTGGTCTGGGCTCAAGTCACCTCACGGTGCATGAGGTCATGCTCTCTGACCGCCGCAGCTGCTGAGGAGACGCTGACCTGCAGGGATTATCAAGGGCAAGGACCCATGAGCCAGACCCCTCCTCCAATCTGGCTTCGAGGTGACCGCTCTGCATGGAGGCCCTGATTCTTTCAGAGCCTAATTCAACTGTAAGATTTCTTGGACTGTCTCCAGGAAACATTGGGAGGCCATTTATGGGTCATGCCAATCTTTCAGGGAAGATTAGAAGGTACAAAGGTAGCCAAGAATCAAAAACAGCAAAAACAAAGCTGTTTAGGGGCAGCTCGGTGGCACATGGATAGAGCAGTGGCCCTGGAATCAGAAGGACCTACGTTCAAATCCAGGCTCAGATACTCTTTAGCTGTGAGACTCTGGACAAGTCACTTAACCCTGACTGACCAAAAAAAAAAAATAGCTGTTTGGAAAGAATTAATACTCTCCTGTTTCCTAAACCTGGGAACCATGCGACAGGTAGCAAATGTTTGATGGCAATTTTGTCAAAGATCAAATCGAGTTTCTGTAAAAAGAAAACCTAAATAAACCACCATGAAGATGGAATTTCTTGGTAATTTCTTTGACCGCTGACCAGTCAAGAGGGAGCAGAAAGCGGTGGGAAGATGGCGGCGCTCTGGACCCCCATCTTGGGTCTTCCATTTCCGTCCTTCCTCCCCTCCCCGGTGACCCGCCTGGGCCTCCCTTTTCCTTCTGTTAAATGAAGGCATTGGGCCAGACGGCCTCCAGAGTGGTTCCAACTGCACCATCCTGTGACCACACAGAGAAGCCCAGGCCATAATGCTGACAGGGATCCCACAAGATCATTCCGTCAGACCCGAGGTGTATCTTGGGATTGCCCGAGGCCTTGCCACAAAAGTCCACATTCACTTAATGTTCTTCATCCCTTGGTATCGTTACTAAAAAATCCGTCGGACTGAGAGCAACACATTGCAGCTTTTGTTTTACCGTCTTGGCTTCGCACCTCCTGATGAGCCTCTCCAAAAGAAGATCTAACGCTCCCTCATCCTGAAGGTCCAGGGTAACAGGCTCAGGGGACAGAATGAGCACGAGGGTCCAGTAGCAGAGATACAGAATCTGAACCCGGTGGCCCTCGGAGGTCAGCCAGGCCCCCCAAGAGCCAAACAGGAATCCCCACTTCTACAACACATACCAGAAGTTGAAATCCGCAGAGAAGGGGTATCCGCTCTCTCCCAAAGCTCCTCTAATCCCTGGGAAGCTGGTCAAGTCTAAACCTCACACCCAGTCTTCTAGTCAGACCTCCGGGGTCAGGCCGATCCTCGGCAGGCCTCCAAATTCTTGCCTACCTCTACTGTGTGGGCCCAAAGCGGACTCCAATCTAGACGTGTTTGGTTGCTTCAAGTTATTCTCCAAGGGCAGGGATTCCAATTCTCTCCTCCTCCTCACCCTCCCTGGAATGCACTGCAGCCCCTTGTAGGATTACAGATTTACGCCTGGAAGGCCCTGCAGAGGCCGTGTGGTCCAACACTCTCTACCCCACCCCACGCCCATTTTATAGATGAGGAAACTGAGGCCCAGGAATGGGACCAGAAGTCAGAGGTTGGATCTAGGTGCATATCCCAGAGTCCAGCATCATTAGTCTTTCCACCATCCCTCAAATGAGGTGCCAAAACTGAACACACAATTCCATTCTCCAAAAGCTGTCTGACCAGAGTCATAATAGACATCGTCCGTCTGTAATTTCATTTGGTCCTAACAATCACCAAGGGTGCTAGTACATGTCGGAGGCAGGATTTGAACCCAGGTCTTTGTTCCTCCAAAAATCTCAGAGAATTAACATCACAAAGAATTAGAAGGCATCATCTTCTGCAGAGCAAAGTTTTCAGTTGCATGTCTCCCTCTATTTCTTCTTCTGTCATGGCGGAACAAAAGGCAGGTTTCCAGTCACAACTGATGTGAGTCCCGAAGGCTGTTCATTAATGCCAAATACCAGGAGGCAAAGTGATCTCCACTGGCTGTTTGCTGAGCCAATGGAAGGTTGTAGTCCTCAGGCCGCTTAGGGGAGGCCCCCTGCCTCGCCCAGGCCCCCTACTCCCTTCAGGCCCCCTGCCCCACCCAAGACCCCTGCTCCATCCAGGCCCCCTGCCCCGCCCAGGCCTCTCCTCCAAAGGAAGCCTAGGGATTACACCAAACTTCCAAAGAAATCAGAGCAGTCTGACAAGGTGGGACATGCCACTTTCTATCAGTGTTGTTCTTGATGTGACCCGCCCCCAACAAGGTCCAGGCAGCCAGGCCTCTATCTCCTTCCATCTGGACTTCTCATGCAGGGCCGACTAGGCCCCTGTGTGCACGGCAAGCACTTAATGGAGGGGACGGAAGATCCCACCTGCTTAAAGAGCCTTCTCAGATTATTTCTGGCAACAGAAATGATTATTAAATAACCAATGATCGGGGACATACAGGGTTTTTTCCCTTCCAATTTCCTCATTCTCTGGGTCCAGCCAGCTTCTGAAAGACATTGCTGATAATGACACTGGATTCTCCGTCAGAGCCCACCCAGCTGGGGAAGCTCACTGTGTTCTACTCAGGCTTGGGTTGGGGGGGGGAGCCTTTGTCTAGATTGCCCCAGGTTGGGGTGGTCTGGGAGTAAGGGTGACATAATCATGTCTCCAGCCTCTCATTAGAATAGGGTCACCTCTCATTATACTATGCATTCTTTCATTAATTGTTAACCAATTTCTGTTGACTGCCATCTGTGGGGAGCAACCACTCTTCCAAGGGGGTATAAGAATCAAGAGGCCGCCATGATCTGTCTTTGGTTCACAAGAGATGGCCAAGTGACCGATTCTTTTATGAATTACTTGCTACCATAAATAATAAAATGATTATCCTACCCGGAGGTCCTCAACCAAAGACTGGGTGAGCATGTGGCAGGCGAGTTTTTGGGGGGATTCTGGTTCACGTAGAGATGGCATCAGAAGGCTTCTGAGGTCCCTTCCAGCTCCCAGATTCTGATCTCTCCAATGTAAGTACCCCCTCAGTACTGACAGCAGCTCCCAAACACTTTGCATTCAATGAGATTCTAATTCAAGTTGTTCCAGGGAGCTCCCAGACCCTCCAAAGATCTGCACAACAGGCCAGCACCCTTCTTTTCGGTCATTTTATATTTCACGGGCCCTATCCCCCATCCATCAATCTCAGTGGTCCAATACTGACCTGCCCCATGTCTAATCACACCTTTTTGGGGAAATGTGACCTACACCACTGTTTCGCGTCACTGTTTTCCAGGTGACTTTCTCCCCCCTATGCATCTCTACAACGGCCTCTTCCCCAGAGACTGTGGTGTTCTGAGATCTGTAATCACGTAGTATCATCCAGAAGGCAGTGGGATTAAACATGGATATTTCTGTGACGTGACGCTGCTCGAGACCCTCAGGAGCACTGAGCAGTCAACCACTCGGATGTGGGCCAGCTACTCTTATCTCCCTTTCCAATTCAAAATCCTACTCACTGTCCATTTCTACAGCCTGCGATACATGTGCCAATGTCCTCTCTCCGTGCACTGGTCACCACAAGTACGCCAGCTCGGACGTTAGGCCTGGGTCATCCACTGGGATTTACCGAAATGGCCAATCTCTCTCACTTCCTAATCACTGAGGCTGGATGCCATTCACCCAGTATCATTCAAAAGCAAAACCAGATGGAGGCCCTCCCCACACAAGGAAGCCCTCCTCCGTGGATCCTCAGTGGATCTCCTCCACAACAGCAGGAGCCCCTCGGGGTGATGGGGTGCCCTCTTTGATGACTGGCCGGATCTTAATAACCAGAGGGGCTCAGGGGAGTCCTGTCTGACCTCCACGGAAAACTGAGGTTTCCTCTCGGGAGGACAGTCCTTAACCTGAGCTCCACTTGACCAAACCAAACCTTTTCTTTGTTTTAATCAACAAACAACACGCTCTCGTCTTGGCTGCATCTGTCAGTCACTTCTGTGACAGTAAGGCTGTCATTTGCTGTGGAGAAGCAGTCTGCCGCAGCGCCCGGCACCGGGGAGCACATCCGTCCCAGCGGCCCTGCATCCTTCTGTGGCCGCAGAAACAGGCACTCTGGATGGGGAGAGGCCCCGGTACCCGGGCTGCGAGCAGCGGGTGACAGTCCAGGGGCACAGGTCCTGACCCTGACTGTCACTATGGCTAAGTGGGTCACTGAGAGCCCTAAGACAGACAGGACTGTTTTTCCTTTGGACAGGTGACTAGAGCCAAGCTCCCTCTTACAGATGCTAATTAATTCTTTTCTCCTCAGTTCTGACGTTGTAAAAAGAAGTGAATTAAGGAATTCTTGAGCTGGAAGCGAAAATCAGGGCCTCAAAAGGACGCAGTTTTGTTAATGCAGTGAAATGACTGAGATGGAAGGCCACCCCCCTCCTCCACAGCGGATGATCCCCAGGGAAGGGAGCCTGCTCAACACCCCGCCTGGACCCTGGATAGCCTACTCCACACCAGAAGAGCGCCGAGCTCTCTGGCCATCAAGGCCGGGGTCTTTTGGCTGCGTCCATCCCCACGGCTCCCAGTTTGGCCCTCGGGGCAGAGCAGAGCTGGTGTCATGGTTCCTCCAGGACACGAGAGGACCACAGCTCTCCTTTCTGATCCAGACTAACCAGGCCCCGTTCCCTGAACCGGTGCCCATATGACAGGGGCTCGAGGCCCCCTCCCCAGGCTGGCTGTCCTCCCTCCCAGGCTCATCCTCCATAATGCAGGGGCCTAGCATGGAGGAGTCTCCTAAGGAGGCCCCCAGGGAGCCACACTGCTGGCCATGCTGCTGGCCCGCTTGGAGCTGTGCACACCAATGAACTCACCCGGTACAGCGGATGGCATCTGTCCTGGAAACAGGGCACCAAATGTGAGTAGATCTGCAGGCTGTAATAGTAAGCCGCCAGCTGGAGACACAAGGCTGACTGCGCCTGCCTCTCAAAGCACTTATTGGCGTCGACCACCTAGCAGGACAAGGGAGCAAATGAGCCGGCTGAGCTGGGCCTCCTGGGCACAAGGCATCTGAGAAGGGACGATGAGGTCCGGGTTCAGGAAACCCACCAGCTCCGCCCACATCCGCTGCTCTGACAGTCAAATGAGGCTCAGAACAGGGGAGGGATGATGGCAGGAGGATGGCCGTGATGGCTCTGAGCCCAAGCCCGTCCGGAGGGGACGTCCTCTCTTCTCCCCCCAGCCTGGCTCTCAGGGCCGGGCCCAAACCCATTGCTGCCAATGGGATTTTCCCGAAGGACAGATCAGAACACCTCACTCCTGGACTCCATAAAACCCAGTGGCTCCTATGGCCTCTAGAATAGGAACTCTCCTCATTTGTTAAAGCCCTTTGCAGCATGGCCCCAGCCCGTCTCTGTAAGCCCAAAGTGCTCTGTACCCCCACACCCTACTCCCAAGCCGCCCTTCTCTGGGAGCGCAATGTAACAGACCACCGCGTCTCTCATCTCCACACCTTTGCCCAGAATTCACTCCTCTGTTTCTGCCTCATGGAATCCCTCTCACCTTCAGGATGGGGCCTAAACCCCACCTTCTCCATGAAGCAGTCCCTGACCCCCAGTCCCACCCCAGCTACAGGGCCTCCCTACTGCTCGGTCCTGATTCTGTACACCCTGATACACGAGTGCTTCTGGTCCCTGGCAAATCAAAGCTTCAGGAGGCAGAGATGATTTCTGTTTTCGTCTGTGCCCCCCCAGCACCCAGCCCCGTGACCCCCTGCACCCAGGCCCGTGCCCCCCTGCACCCAGGCCCGTGCCCCCCAGCACCCAGCCCCGTGCCCCCCAGCACCCAGCCCCGTGCCCCCCAGCACACGCAGGCATGTAGTAAATGCTAACCGACTGGCTCATGACTGATAAGGTAGGCAGTTTTTCAAGACTTGCAGAGTGCTTTTTGTTCTACTGAACTTCACAACAGGCCTGCGAGGTGGATACTAACAGTGTCATTATTGTTTCTGCCAAGCAGGTGGAGAAGACAAGGCTGTGAGGGGTTAACTGACCTGTGCAGGCACTGAGCTGATAAACAGTGGAGGCCAGATTCACACCCCGGCCCCGCCCTCCCTCCACTCTGCCCCATAAATCTGCCGGTCCAGAATCCCGGGTTCAGAGCCGGATGGCACCGTCTCATCCAGATTCACAAGAAGCTGCAGGCTTCCATGACCAGGCCTGGAGATGCTCAAAGCACCGTCTGACGTCAGCAGCCACACGACGTGCTCACAGAATAGAATTCTGGTGCCAGTTCATAGAAAGGACAAGGGACAGTGCCTGGGAAGCAGACATCGTCCCATTCGCCCTCTGTGTGACAACTCACCTGTGGCAGGGCGAGCAGGTAAGCCAAGGCCAAGGTCACGTCATGCGGCAAAGCGTCGCTGGCCAGCTGCAGGAGAACTGGAAGGGAAGAAAGAAGGACACGTGACCATCTGTACCATGCAGCAGGTGACGCGTCTTCACGGGCCTCGGTCTGAGCCATCCCAGGGCTCTTGGCAGGACCTGGAGACGTCCAGCAAGGCCACGGCCGTGATCTGGCGGCCTCTGCCTGGCCCACGTGGGGGCCACGCCCAACAGATGCCTGCGTCACACGTTTCCGTACTAGCCCTTACACACTCACAGGCCCCACCTTGGCCCCCCACACCAATCACAGCTCAAGAACAGCTCCACTGCCTTTCAGGGAAAAACTAGCCTGGCCGAGCCTCCCACCATGTGGGGGGACTAGAAAAGCTTCTCTTGGGCAGGACCCTGGGAGGCAACCCTTTCTGAGTCTCTGACCTCAGCATCATGGGCACACCCAGCATGAGTGCGGAGGACAGTGTGGGTCCAGGGTCTGCCACGGCGCCTAAGCAGGTAGCCTTCATACATGGCCACGGCAGAAGAAGAAAGTCCATACTCCCATGATGAGACTCCCCAACCTTAGCCAGCTGGTCCCCAGACAACAGACCCAGAGGAGGGCACCTGGGAGACCAGGGGCTGGGAGGACAAAGCCGCTGGGAGACTCAGGTCCCTCATTCGGCACGGGGCCGGGCCTGGCCCATTAATCAATGCTTGCTGACTGAATGACCAACTTTCGTGCACTGTGAAGCCCTGAAGGAAAGCTAGAAGGGCACAATGAACAGGACCCTAACTCAGTGCCCTCTCACCGTGAAGAATCAGGCTGGGAGGCCCACAGCAGCAGGCCTAAACTAAGCACAGGTGATCCAGACATAGCAGCTGCAAGTGTCCCTGGGGCTTTGGGAGCACCTGCAGGTAACCTGCCAGCAGCCCAAGGCGAAGCATGAGGGTTCAGAGCCACAGGTGCTCCAAGAAAGGAAGGCCCGATTGATTAGAGAAACGCAAATCAAAACAACTCTGAGGTACCACATCACACCTATCAGAATGGCCAACATGACAAGACAGGAAAACGATAAATGTAGGAGAAGATGTGGGAAAATTGAAACACCAATGCATTGCTGGTGGAGTTGGGAAATGATCCAACCATTCTGGAGAGCGAGTTGGAACCGTGCCCAAAGGGCTATAAAAATGTGCATCCCCTTTGACCCAGCAATAGCACTTCTAGGGCTGTATCCCAAAGAGATCATAAAATGGGGAAAGGATCCACGTGTACAAAAATATTTAAAGCAACTCTCTGTGGTGGCAAAAAACTAGAAATTGAGAGGGTGCCCATCAATTGAGGAATGGCTGAATAAGTTGTGGTATATGGATGTAATGGAATACCACTGTGCTATAAGAAATGATGAGCAGGCTGACTTCAGAAAAACCTGGAAAGGCTTGTATGGTCTGAGGCTAAGTGAAGTGAGAGAACCAGGAGAATGTTGTACACGATAACAGCCACGTTGTGTGATGACTAATATTGATAGACTTCACCCTTCTTAGCAATGCAAGGATCTAGGACATCTCCAAAGGCTTCATGATGGAAAATGCTATCCACATCCAGAGAAAGATCTACGGAGTTTGAATGCAGATCCAAACATATTATTCGCTCTTTTTTTCCTCTGTTGTGTTTTGTTTCCTCTTTCTGGAAGTTCCTCCTATTGGTTCTAATTCTTACCTACAACATCACTAATGTGAAAATATGTTTAATAGGAATATATATGTATAGCCTATATCAGATTGCGTGCCGACTTGGGGAGGGAAGTGGAGAGGAAGGGGGAGAAAAATTTAAAACTCAAAAGCACATGGAAGTGATTGCTGATAAATCAAAATAAATTAATTTAAAAAAAAGAAAGGAAGACCCGCCAGATGGGAGGGCACTATCGCTGACCCTCCGGGTCATTCTGCCTGCGATTTTCATCACAAATCTTTCAGGACGTGGATTTAAACGGACAAGAGCAAGATGTGGAGAGACTCACAACATGGAAAAAAAGATCACGTTGTCGATGTCACATTCTAGACTGAGCCCTGCTCTTCCTGCAGGAAAGGTCCTCCGTGGCCCTGTGCCTGCTCCCACCTCCCAGGACTGGCCCACGCAGTTTACACAGCCTGCCACTGCCCTGCACATGCTCCCCATCTCTAGGACTGGCTCACTCAGTCCACACAGCCTGCCACTGTCTTACACATCCTCCCCATCTCTAGGACTGGCCCACTCAGTCTATACATCCTGCCACTGTCTTACACATTCTCCCATCTCCCAGGACTGGCCCGTGCAGTCTACACCCCACCCAAACTGGTCAGCTCTGTGTCCCCAGGCCAGGCCATACACCCTCTATGCCTCTGCTAACAAGACTCCCCATGCCAGACAACCAGAATGCTGCCAAATGCCCCCCCATCCTGTGAAGCCCAGAGCCGTAGGAGGGGCCAGGTAAGTCCAGACTCCACACTTCTCTCATGCACTGCTCAGGTATAACCTATTCCAGTGAGCAGTAGGACCTTCCCCAGCAGGTAACACAGGGCGAGGCACCGCGGGCACATCAGACACCTCCGGGGACATCCTGCCAGGTAAAGCCTCTCCCTTTTTCTACATTCAATTGGCGTTCCTCACCTGAAGCTTCTGCAACAGTGCCCCCTCCCCCACTGCACTCTTCCAGAAAAGTCTCTGCAGATCCCATCACACAGAAACATGCACAGGATGAAGAAGGGTTCAAGAAGTCTAAGCGTTTAATGAAAACGCCAGACGGCGGCACGTCAGGCAGCCGAGGCTGCTTCTAAAGGAGCCGCCTCCTGGCGATGCGCCCTGATGGAGGGGAACCGCGCTACACGAGCGATTAATACCTGGCTCTGGGAAAGTGCGCTGAGCCACTTACTCATAGACTTACCTTCCTAAGAGCATTTCCTTTTGGCTTGCCGCCCGAGTGAGCCCCAGCAGACGCCGGGGAGGGGGTCACCAAGCCAGGGCCAGCTCCGAAGCTAGATGGACGTCAGACGCAGCCGGAATCACTGGGTCCAAGCCCCTCGTTTTACAAATGAGCAAACTGAGGCTCAGAAGGTGAAGGCAGAAACCAGCACGGCCGCGCCTAGGTCTCCTACTCACCCCATGACATCACACGCCTCCACCCACATCCCCAAGTTGGTCCCTGGTGCAGGCGGCCGCTGGGGTGGCAGCGGGGGCCCCGGGCTGACCCCCTCCCACAACCAGGCTGCCCTCACAGACAAGACTGGAGGGCACGGTGTGGCTGGACCAGCGTGGACACTCCCGCGCTGTTCACCTGACTGGATGTTCTGCCCAATGAGCCACAGGTCAAGCGAACAGCAGCTCCAGGGAGAGCTGCATGGCCCGGTCAAGCAGGAAGGAGAAAGCTCCAGCGAGCGGGCAAGCCGCCACAGGCAGACAGATTGGAAGGCCGGTTCTCTTACGGCCTCCTGACATCCTGAGCAGGTGCAACCTCGGGGTCCCCTCCTCAGAACACTTCAGTGAAAAGCACACGGGGGGTGGAGCCAGGAGACGGCTTCAACTTCAACCTCAGACACGGACCTAGGCTGGTAACCAAGTCAGGGCGCTTCACGGCTCCCCGCCTCAGCTTTCCCATCTGTAAAATGGGGGTGATAACATTTGCACTTCCCACGTAAAGTCCTGATAAGGATGGCAGGATTGATGTGAGAAGGAACCAAATGGCTATTCTTGGTCAACTCTGTCATTCTATGGGGAACTGAGGCCCAAGGTGGGTGACTTGTCCAAGGTCTTCCAGGTGGAATTCGAATTCCAACTCTGGTTCTCTGACCCCACAAATCGGTAGAGATTCAGAAGGCTGTTGAGAGGACATCGCTTTGATTTGTGAACGTTAATGGGATCTTTCCGCATCCTCCTGGAGACATCATTCCAGCTGCTTCGCGAACATCCGGAGGCCCCCAAGACTTCAGCAGAAAGTCTAAGTGCTTGAGAAATCTCCTGAAGCTTCCAAATGCAAAGGTGAGGATTCCCAAGCCCTCCTGGGAGGAAGGGGGAGGCTGCCACACACACACGCACACACACATGCACATGCACACACCCACACACACATGCACACACGTGCGCATACACACACATGCACACGCGCACCCACGCATACACGCGCGCACACGCACGCGCACATGTGCGCACATACACACATCCAGCCTCCTCTTTGGGAATCACCCAGTGGATTCTCTCAGTGAATCAGCGCCAGGGGAAAATCTCTCTCCTTGCTCTCTGGGCAGACGAAACAGGTGCTCACTCACCTTAAGGGTCAGATTTTTGGCCTCTTTAAAGAATGAAAGCCCCTCTCAAAGGAAGAAGGCCACCCCATGTGAAGGATGGACAGAGGCCCTCAAGGAAATTCCCAAAGGGGAGCTGAGAAATACTCTGAGCAATGACAGACTCACACACTCATCCAACGTCAGGGCTCAAGGAAACATTCCAGGCGACCTAGGCCAAGCCGGTCATTCAACAGCGGAGGAAGCCGACCTCCACAGAACCGTCCTGCTTAACTGAAAAGCCACAGGGCAGCAAACAGACACTTCCCAGGAGAACTGTAAGGGGACAGCTCTGTTGGATGCCTGAGCTCAGGTAGGTTCATTTTTAAAAGCAATGCAGATTTAACGCAGTTGGATAAACATCTGTGTTGCGGATAAGCAACAAAAGAGGGCGGGGCAGCGCGCCAAGCTCTGGGGGAGACAAAAAATGTTCAGAGGCAATCCTCCCAATAACTATAAAATGTCCCCAGATTTGTGGTACCCTCAGTACAGCCACTCTAGCTAAATGTCACGTCAGTAATAGCCTGCTAACATATAATGAATTTTACGACTCGCAGTATTACTCAATACTCACCAACTCTGTTCTTGAAGAAAGGATTCAGACTATAAAGGAGCACCGCTGAGAGATCAATCACTTAGTATCCACAAGAATTTATTAAGCACACTTAGGTGCCCAGAGCTGTGCTGGGCACCTTGCGGCACAAAAAGAACAAGGAAACGGCCCTGCCCTCAGGAAGCTTATACTCTAA